CCCATGGCTTACGGAGGAAAGATTTTTATTCCACTTCCCCATGGATATAAAAGGAAAAGTAATAAGACCAAGAACTATTAAGATAAAAATCAAAGAAAACTCAGATGAGTGTGTATAAATAAACGTGTACATGTATGTGTAGTGTGACCTAAGTGTAAGTAGAAGTAGCAAGACGCCTGTAATTTTGCATATTTATGAGACAGACAAAAGACACCAGCAAATCCTACCATCATGTAAAACAGTTACAGGCTTTTGTTTTACACTCACTTGGCAGGACGGTAGTACCTCCCTGGGTGGTTGCTGTCTACCAACCTACTACCCATACATTTATTAAACATTTACATTTATTAAACAAAAATACCAACCACTCAAACACTATATCCTCCCCTGCTTTTAACATTTCTGTCATGATCCCATCAGTTCCAGCTGCTTTACCCCCTTTCATTCTACGTAATGCCTCACGCACCTCCCCCACACTCACAGCCTGTTCTTCTTCACTCCTAAAAGATGGTATACCTCCTTGGCCAGTGCATGAAATTACAGCCTCCCTTTCTTCGTCAACATTTAAAAGTTCCGCAAAATATTCTCGCCATCTACCCAAAACCTCCATCTCCCCATCTACTAACTCCCCTACTCTGTTTTTAACTGACAAATCCATGTTCCCTAGGCTTTCTTAACTTGTTTAACTCCAAAATTTTTTCTTATTTTCTTGAAAATTTCTGGACAGTGCCTTTCCCACTCTATCATCTGCTCTCCTTTTGCACTCTCTCACCACTCTATTCACCTTTCTTTTACTCTCCATATACTCTACTCTTCTTATAACACTTCTGCTTTTTAAAAACCTCTCATAAGCTAACTTTTTTCTCTTTTATCACAAACCCCTTTTCTTCATCATTCCACCAATCACTCCTCTTTCCTCCTGCCCCCACCCTCCTATAACCACAAACTTCTGCCCCACATTCTAATACTGCATTTTTAAAATTATTCCAGCCCTCTTCAACCTTCCCACTACTCATACTTGCACCAGTCCATACTTGCACCACTAGTAAAACTAGTTTATGGGGTTTTATATGTTTGTTGATATGTATATTAATTGTGATTGTTGTTGTACGGCCTTTAGTTTTCATGGACATGAGGGCCCCAGTTTATGGGGCTTTACTTCACGCCGCTTCGCTAATACAGACGTTTCAAATTATACCCAAAAATTTTTTTATACCACTCCTGATTTGCTGTCACAGCCTGAGCTTTCAGCTGAGTGTCTGCACATCATTTTCTTGCACTTTGTTTACCACGTCTGTGAGCTCTGCATCTCTCTCGATTCTGTCTGGAAACTTTTCAAAGTTGCAAGTGTATTAAAGTTCTTGCAGTTTTATGTACTATTCACTTTTTGTGTTACAATGACATCTAAGGGTAGTTGTGCTAAAAAGAGCCATAAGGCCTAGTTCTTTTGCTTACTTAAAGTATGCAGTGTAAACATGTTATGAGGCATAGCATTTATGGTGATTTTTGCTTTACAGCTGTAGCCTGGAACCTAACCCGCCATACATTCAGGTCCTCCTTTAATTTTTCTTCTGTGTTGTGCTTATATAATTCTGTTACGCACTACAAAAGTTAGTTCTATGTCTGGGTTTAGTACTTTGAATTTATTTAGTCATGTAGAGTAGTGTACAGTAGTATGTAGATGGCCTGTTGTTCAGTAGGTTTAGTTGTTTATGGAGGCATAGGGAAAGGTGTCATCTCAAACTGGTTTTTCTCTTTTTGAGATGGATAAATGTGATGTAAATACAGTGGAACCTCTACTTATGAGCGCATCCACGTGCAAGTTTTTCTAAATTACGAGCAGTCGCTCAGTCAGTTTTTTTGCTTCCCGACACAGCGAAATTTCCAGATGCGAGCAGGGGCCTCAAGGGAGGGTTTCCTTGATACTGTTGAAAGGGGCTCTTGCTCTTGATCTAGGAAATTGGAAACCATTGTTTGTTGGACTATCTTTTTGAAACTTGGGCAAATGTATGATGGAAAGATGCTTCTTAACTTACACCAAAATTGAAAGAAATTGGACCAAAAATAACGGAGTTCACTTCTCAGCCTTTATTTGTCCCTTAGCAGTATATTTTTGTATGGTTTTTATGGTTGTATTCTCGTTTTTTTGGTCTCCTTTGATAAAATGGAAGATATATTACAGAAATAGATATGATTTTGATTGCTTTCACAATGAAAAGTACCTTGAAATTCAGCTCAAAATAGCAGAAATGCTTGATTTTTGCCGATGTTCAAGAGTAAGCAAATAAGGTCACTGTCTAATGTGTGCCCAACTGGCCAGTCTAATATGCAGTCAAGATTGGGTTGACATTATTTATACAATTATTACAATAATGCAATAGTCTGCATAACAGTAAATCTTCTATATTTTGTTTTAATAAAAATTCCAAATGGTAAGCAAGAGTTATTGTTATAAGAATACGTACATGCTAATTAATAATAACATGAACGTTCTATGTATAATTTAGCATACGCCGATGTGCCCAGCATCTCTTCTCTATCTCCAAAGTAAATGCTGTATTACTACATAATTTCTTTACATTATTATTATTATTATTGTTTTCCTTATGAAACTATGTATGTAGTGATCTAATGGAGTTTGTCTTACAAACACTCCATTTTCTGTTATAATAAAAGCATGGGAAGATATGTAGGAATGGCCACCATGGTGACCCTATGCACCCCAACAATAACAACAACAACAACAACAACAACAACAAAGGCCGTTGTGCCGCATCCACTAACACTACTCACATGCGTAATATTTCATTCATTCTTGTGTATATATCATGTTTCTATGTTATTAATATTGTTTATTATGCCATATTAAATGAATTGTGATAGATAAATAAGCCGTAGAGTTGATATTAGGGAAATTTTTGAAGTATTTTGTCGTGCCTGGAATTCCATGGGAATGGATTAATTCCATTTCAGTTAATTTAAATGAGGAAAATTGACTCTACAAACAAGCAAATTCAGATGTAGCAAGGTCACAAATGGATTAAACTCGTAAGTAGAGGTTCCACTTTAAAACCCTTTACTTGGTTGTAATGACTGAGTGATGAACCCTTTTTTACTGCTTATTTTTAATTGTAAAAAATTTTATTAAAATAAAAAATTTTTCTGCAGTTTTCTAGTTTTGTGATTGCATTTTCCTGCCATGCTAGTGTGTTCTTTATTTGATTTTTTCACTACATCCCCTTTATACAGTTAAGTTTTGTAGGTGTTTGCTTTTACTCATAAGTCAGAATGGGCCCGTGCAGTACTTCTTCTGTTAATCCCTAAATTAAAAGAATTAAATGACCATTTGCCCCTACAAGTGACATACATCATGATGCTGAAAAATAGAAACTTAGTTTTAAAAAAATATAATATATAAATTCTTTCTCTTAACACACCAACTGTCTCACATCTAGATAGGGTAATCTGAAAAAGGAGAAAGACATTAAAATGAATGGAATGTGCTCAGCAGAGATAACTATCTACAATACAAATATCAAAACATGTATAATTTGAGAATGGTAATGCAAAATGTATTTTTTCTAGTGTGGAAGGCAGAGGTACACTAGTGTGTCCAAGAGCTCAACCTACTGACCAGGGCGCTTACTCTTGTGAAGCTATCAACAGTCGTGGATCAGTATTTGCTCAGCCAGATTCTATTGTACAAGTAAAAGGTGGATCACCTGTATGTCAGCCACCACAGTTTAATGAAGGAGCTGTCACTCCTCAGGACTGTCTTACATGTTTCTGCTTTGGTGCCACAGATCAGTGTTACTCCACTGACCGATATATCACACAGGTATATGTGTTTCCCTGTTGTTTGTTTTATGAGTACATCAGTAGCACACAGTGCTTTAAATTTGTTTGTCAGCAGCATTTGCATAATATTTACTGTCCTTATATTAGCTGTGTTAACTTAAATAATTTATACTAATGAATAAATTAGGTTGACTTGGGGGTGTATAAATCTGTAGTAGAGGGGGAGGGGGTAAAAGAGGTTTTGTGTCCAAGGGGCCTGGGCATGCAATAGGCATGTGTGAAGGTGCTAGACAGGAGTGAATGGAGACAAATGGTTTTTGGGACCTGATGAACTGTTGGAGTGTGAGCAGGGTAATATTTTGTGAAGGGATTCAGGGAAACCGGTTAGCTGGACTTGAGTCCTGGCAGTGGGAAGTACAATGCCTGCACTTTAAAGGAGGGGTTTAGGATATGTTTGGAGTGACATCTAAACTGCCATATCTGGGCACCTATGCAAAGACAATGATATTGTGTGAATGATGGCAAAAGCATTGAATGATGGTGAGTGTGTTTCTTTTTTGGATCACCCTGCCTCGGTAGGAGAAGACTGACATGTTAAAAACAAAAAGCATGTGACCTGTGAGGATGGTTAAGGGTACCAAGGTAGTGTCTACACATACATTGTGAGGATGGTGAGTAGTACAGTGGTACGTCCACTACACACTGTGAGGATAATGAGTGGCACAGTGGTAGTATCACTATCTCACACAGCAGATTGATTCTCATGCAAATATCTTTCATATTATGGCACTGACAGAGCTTCAAAATTTAGTTTGTATCAGTTTGTCTCGTCAGTTCAGAATGATTGCTATTAACAAGAATAAATTTGGGAGTGTGTTTCATGGCTCCAACACCTCAAATGTATTTGGGTATACAACTGTCCTAATGTTGCTTGCATCCATTACATGAACCAAAAAACTAATAATTGAGATTTGTAAAGCATATAAGAAATACTTTAATCTGACTTGTAATTGGCACACATGTAAACTATTCAGCTTCTTGGTTTTCAGTTAACACTGACAAATCATCCTGAAATTTCTTAGTAGGATTATGTTAGCTAAATACTCTGGTTCTCTGAACCATTCATCTACTCTGGAAAACTTGGTAATATGCATTGTCTTATGTGGATCAAAATTTTCATTTTTCTAACCTACATTTCACAGCTGCCACCTCCTGCTAGCGAATCTTTTTCACTGGTAGGTGTTAATCAGGACCAGTTCCAAGGAAACTATGTCATTCGTGCCAGCCAGTATCCTCTCTCATCACGCTACCTCATACCTCAGTCGGCAAATGTGGTTCAAGTAAGTGAAGCCTAATTTAACCTTTAATTAAGTGCAATATTCATTACTAAATGGTAGTGATTTGTAGTTATTGTAGGTAAAAAAAAAGGAATGAAATTTATTTAAATGAAATGTTCTTCTTTAATAAATATTTAACACTTTTTTCAGCTTACTGTGGATCGCACAAAACTTGGTGGTCCTAGTGACCTTCTAGTATACTACTCTCTACCTGATAGCCATAAAGGCCAACAGCTCTCCGCTTATGGTGGTTATCTCCGTTACAAAATTAAATACTCAAGTATTGGTGCTGGACAGGCCATCAGTGGACCAGATGTGATTATAATGGTGAGCCATTTGTTATTTTCATTATCTTCCTTTTAATTTTTCAGCATCTTGTTTTCTTACTTAACGATGCCTATTCTTTTTCATTTATTCCTGTTTCTTAACTCTGGAAGTCCAAGAATATTGTATCGTGATTCAGTTAAAATATTTAATGTCCATATTAATAAGGACCTGGGTAGTAGATTGGTAGACAGCAGCCGCCCAGGGAGGTACTACCGTCCTGCCAAGTGAGTAAAATGGAAACCTGTAATTGTTTTACATGATGGTAGGACTGCTGGTATTTTTTTTCTATCTCATACACATACAAGGTTTTAGGTACATCTTGCTACTTCTACTTACACTTAGGTCCCACTACACATGCATGCACAACCATATATATACACACACACACTTCTAGGTTTTCTTCTATTTTCTTACTAGTTCTTGTTCTTGTTTATTTCTGCTTATCTCCATGGAAAAATGGAACAGAATTTTCCATCCATAAGCCATGCGTATCGTAAAAGGCAACTAAAATGCCGGGGGTAAGGGGCTAGTAACCCCTTCTGTATACATTACTGAATTTAAAAAGAGAATCTTTCATTTTTCTTTTTGGGTCACCCTGCCTAAGTGGGACATAGCCAGTCTGTTGAAAGAAGAAAGATTAATAAGGACAGCCTCTTGTCTTAAACAATGAAAGATGCATACTTTTCTTTGATCAGCTTAAATGTGATGCTGCTCTGTGGTCCATTATTATGTTTAATGAAAAAAAATACTTCCATACTTGTCATCCTTTTTTTGTGGCACAAGTGATTTAACTAAGATATGTTGTGTATCTTTATATGTGTATGCTTCTAAACTGTTGTATTCTGAGCACCTCTGCAAAAACAGTGATAATGTGTGAGTGTGGTGAAAGTGTTGAATGATGATGAAAGTATTTTCTTTTTGGGGATTTTCTTTCTTTTTTGGGTCACCCTGCCTCGGTGGGAGACGGCCGACTTGTTGAAAAAAAAAAAAAAAATAGAGAGCAGGTTGTAGGTAGTAGGTTGGTAGACAGCAACTGCCCAGGGAGGTACTACTGTCCTGCCAAGTGAGTGTAAAACGAAAGCCTGTAATTGTTTTACATGATGGTAGGATTGCTGGTGTCTTTTTTCTGTCTCATAAACATGCAAGATTTCAGGTATGTCTTGCTACTTCTTACACTTAGGTCACACTACACATACAGGTACAAGCATATATACATACACCCCTCTGGGTTTTCTTCTATTTTCTTTCTAGTTCTTGTTCCTGTTTATTTCCTCTTATCTCCATGGGGAAGTGGAACAGAATTCTTCCTCCATAAGCGATGCATGTTGTAAGAGGCGACTAAAATGCCAGGAGCAAGGGGCTAGTAACCCCTTCTACTGTATATATATTACTAAATGTAAAAGGAGAAACTTTCGTTTTTCCTTTTGGGCCACCCCGCCTCGGTGGGATACGGCCGGTGTGTTGAAAGAAAGATAGAGAGCAATTTCCCTGAATCCCTTCACAAAATCTGGTTAGCTGGACTTGAGTCCTGGAAATGGGATGAACAATGCCTGCACTTTAAAGGAGGGATTTGGGATGTTGGCAGTTTGGAGGGACTTCCAAACTGTTGTATCTGAGCACCTCTGCAATGACAATGATAATGTATGAGTGGGGTAAAAGTGTTGAATGATGAGGAAAGCATTTTCTTTTTGGGAATTTTCTTTCTTTTTTGGGTCACCCTCCCTCGGTGAGAGAACGATCAATGTGTTGAAAAAAAATAGCAATGTTTTTATAATTATTTTATTGTATTAACATACATAGCATTAAAATAAAAACTAGTGCAGTGGAACGGAAAAGGTACTCAAAGGACCTTGTAGTTTTTTTTTAACATGTTGGCTGTTTCCCACCAAGGAAGGGCACCCAAAAAGCAAAAAAAACCCAAAAAAGAAAGAAAAAACTTTCATCATCATTAACACTTTTGCCATCACTCATACATAATCGCTGTCTTTGCGGGGGTGCCCAAAATTTTGACAGTTCAGGTGTCCCTCCAAACTACCAATATCCCAAACCCCTCCTTTAAAGTGCAGGCATTGTACTTCACATTTCCAGACTCAATCCGGCTAACCAGTTTCCATGAATCCCTTCACAAAATATTACCCTGCCACACTCCAACAGCTCGTCAGGTCCCAGAAACCATTCATCTCCATTCATTCCTTTCTAACACACTCACTCATGCTTGCTGGAAGGCCCAGCCCCTTGCCCATTAAAACCTCCTTTACCCCCCTCCCCCCAAACCCTTTTTTTTCGGGGCCCTTACCCCTACCCTGCCTTCCTTCCCCTATAATTTATATGTTCTCCAAGTCATTCTGCTTGTTACATTCTCTCTAAATGACCAAACCATCTCAACAGCCCCTCTACAGGCCTCTTGACTAATAGTTTTAGTAACTCCTCAACCCTCCTAATTTCCATACTAATGAATTCTGTGCTAATATTTACACACACATTGCCCTTAGACAGGACATCTCCACGCCTCCAGCTGCCTCCTCGCTGCAGCATTTATAACCCATCTTCACCCCACATGAGAATGTTGGTACCACTATACTCTCGTATTTTTCCCTTCTTTGGATTATTTAAGACAAAAAATGATAATAATAGTCATACCCGTCAGCAACATTTATTGAAAATAGACAAGGGAAACACTCTGACGATCCTTCATGTTCTAAGCAAATTGGCTGAAAAGAAAAAAAAATTGTTTTTACTGGGGCAGCATAGTGGTGCCAGTTTGCAGACTTCACATCAACAAGTACACAGCAACACATTTTGCCAAACCAGCATAACGACAGAACGGAAAGTTTTAATAATTTATTACATTTTTTCATTTATTTATAAAAGTAACAAATATTTTTTCTAACACACTGACCATCCCCCTCCAAGACAGTGTAAATCAGTTTAAAAAAAAGTAGTGAAAAAATCTGTAAAAATCTATGAGAATAATTTTTATGCATTACATATGTGAAAATTGTATAAATTGTTTGATTAAATAATGATGATATTAAGTTGCAAAGGTAATAAACTTAACTTTCTTGAAAATGTAAAAAAAACACTTCATGATTGCATTACAAAATTCTCCATCATGAATACCTGAATCATACTCTTCATCTTTCGGACTTTTTTAAACATTTAATTTTTGTTTGATTTTAAGTGTGTCTGCACTTTTTTGTCTTGTCATTGCACTTACTTGTATTATATATGTTACTTTGAAACCCAAATGTTTTGGAATATTTTACTATTATTTTATTTATTGTTGCACTAGGTATGAAAATGACTAATGATATTAAAGCAGAAAAATAGAAGACAAAAATTTACTTATATGGTAGTAGGTTGGTAGACAGCAACCGCCCAGGGAGGTACTACCATCCTGCCAAGTGAGTGTAAAAACAGAAAAAATGTAATTGTTTTACATGATGTAGGATTCTGGTGTTTTTTTTCTGTCTCATAAACATGCAAGATTTCAGGTACGTCTTGCTACTTCTACTACACTTAGGTCACACTACACATACATCTACAAGCAAATACACCTACCATCCGACTTATGACTGAGTTTGGTTCCGAGAAACCGGTCGTAAGTCGAAATGGTCGTAAGTCGAACTTTACTATTGAATTCAACAATAACATTTTTGTAATAACTTTATTTTGTTCTATTTTGGTATTTCATGTTTTACTTTACTTTTTATGCTGTTAGTACTGTATTTTATACTGTAATGTTTAGGATAAACACTGTGTACAAACACAAACACTTGTTTATTCCCAGAAATTTGGCATAAAAAATACGGTCGTAAGTCGAGTCGTCGTAAGTCGACAGGCCCGTAAGTCGGATGGTAGGTGTATATATATATATTAAATTAGGGGAATCAAATTCAAAAGGGGAATTGAAAACAGTTACTTTTGCTGATGATACTGTGCTTATGGGAGATTCTAAAGAAAAATTTGCAAAGGTTAGTGGATGAGTTTAGAAATGTTGTGTAAAGGTAGAAAGTTGAAATGAACATACAAAAGAGTAAGGTGATGAGGGTATCAAATGAATTTAGCTAAAAAAAATTGGATATCAAATTGGGAGGAGGAGTATGGAAGAAGTGAATGTTTTCAGATACTTGAGAGCTGACGTGTTGGCGGATGGATTTATAAAGGGATGAGTTAATCATAAAATTTGATGAGAGAAAAAAGGTGAGTTGTGCGTTGTAAATGTGGAGTCGAAAAACGTTATCTATGGAGGCAAAGAAGGGAATGAAATGAAAGTAACTGTACCAACACTCTTATATGGATTTTAAGCTTGGGTGGTAAATGCAGCAGCGAGGAGATGGTTGGAGGAAGTGGAGGGGTCTTGTCTAAGGGCAATGTGTGGTGTAAATATTATGCAGAAAATTCGGAGTGTGGAAATTAGGAAAAGGTGTGGAGTTAATAAAAGTATTAGTCAGAGGGCAGAAGAGGGGTTGTTGAGGTGGTTCGTCATTTAGAGAGAATGGATCAAAGTAGAATGACATGGAAAGCAAAATAAATCTATGGGGGAAGGAAGGCGGGTAGGGGTCATCCTCGAAAGGTTGGAGAGGGGGGGAAAAGGGAGGTTTTGTGGGCGAGGGGCTTGGACTTTCAGCAAGCGTGCGTGAGCGTGTTAGATAGGAGTGAATGGAGACAAATGTTACTTGGGGACCTGACGATCTGTTGGAGTGTGAGCAGGGTAATATTTAGTGAAGGGATTCGGGGAAAACCCGGGTTATTTTCATATAGTCGAACTTGAGTCCTGGAAATGGGAACTCAATGCCTGCACTTTAAAGGAGGGTTTGGGATATTGGCAGTTTGGGGGGAAATATGTTGTGTATCTTTATACGTATATGCTTCTAAACTTTTTGTATCTGAGCATCTCTGCAAAAACAGTGATAATGTGTGAGTGTGGTGAAAGTGTTAAAATGATGATGAAGTATTTTCTTTTTGGGGATTTTCTTTTTTTTTTTGGGTCACCCTGC